GCCCTGGAAAATAGTGCCCTTTAAGGAACCCTTTAAAGGGAACAATATTCCAACTATTCAGGCCGACTATAGTAATGTAGAACCGACGTGATCAACCTTGGGAGCCCCTACCCGCACCCCTTGGATTTGTCGCATCCAGGATTCACCAGGCGCAAAGTTTAGGCTTTTTCCGCAGTGCCCAATGGGCCTAGCAAGTAATCAGCTAGTTCGGCTTAGGATATGTATAGATTAGTTTGTTTAGGCAGTATATGATTATCAGGGGTGCTTCTGTAGCATCCCAGGTATGCCTTCTTTGCGCTCCTGCTTTCATCGCCTTCCTGCAGCCCGCACGCAGAGGCCATCAAGGAGTCTAGATGCTTCCACGACCATGGCACGGGCCCACCTTTGGGGGGCTTATTAAAAAAAGAAAAGGGTTCCCTTTAAAGGGTTGCTTAAAGGGGTCTATAATATTCAGAATTGGTGGCCGCCTTATAATAATTAGAATGGGGTTTTGGGGTATATTACAGTAAACTAGAACTAGAATAAGGAAGCCCCAAAGCCCTATTCTAGCTACAGGCCCCTATATACATTACTTTGACATACGATGGCTGCCTTGTCGGAATCGAGATTAAATGACGGCGCTTTTGAACCTGCGGGCTCTAAGTACTGGACACACGCCGGCATGTTGGAATAGCCCTCTTCCCCCGTTTTAAGCTGGCATCATTTCGAGCTTTGGGGTTAAGGTTAAGTCTAACGATGATATTCAGATGCTTGGTTCATCTCATTCCGTCCATAATGCAGGGGACCGGAGTACGGAGTTGTTCTCGTTGACCTCAACAAGATTAGCCACTCCTGGTTTGATGTAGGGATCTGGGGTTAGGGCTGAGTGTTTAAGGGTTTTAGGGTTGACAGCCAGTGGGCTCTGTGTATAAGAGTTGCCAGAACACTTGTTATGCGGGTTCTTGTTTGAAGCTTTTGGTGCTAGGAGTCCAACTTTGAATCCCGTGGTTTGACATGACATGCTGAAAGTACGGCATTACTCAACCCAAAATACCAAATAAATCCCATGAGCCCTCAATCCTAAACCCCAACATCATCATACACTTGGCAGTGGCCAGGCTCTGGCGGACACCCACTCTGTGGAAGATTTGGAGGGCCATGTGCTCTGGCTTCATCGGAGAATGTTATAGGGGCCTTACTCACTAGAAAAGGGTGGAGAGCTTGCACCCTAAACCCTAAACCTTAGCTAGCAGCTAGCCAATCAGCCTGAGCCCTACACCGAATATAGTTCCTTGCAAGGCCCCCATCCGTCTGGGGGACCCTGATGGAAGGGGTCTTGTGGAATCGCTTGAAGAGTTGGGTCCCTATCACAGTATGGCACCTAGTATTTGGGGTACCCAAACAGGGACCTTAATTTTGACAATTGCCCAATTGAAGCAGCTCCCAATAAACCCTAAACCCCAAGTTCGTCCAAAGACAGCACTTCGATAGCGTCTTAGCAGCTTTCTCGGCAACTGTGACTCCTCCCGAAGCTGGCTAATAAAGGGGCCTAAATTAATGATTACCAATACCAGTTTGGGGGTCACTTGTTATAACTATTGTATAATGGACCCCAAAACCCCATTGTAATGATTAAGGCGATGAGGGCCTCTTGGCCTCCAAAGAAGCTGAAGAGAGCCAGAAGCAACTTGCACATTCCGTTCTTTCTGCTCGAAGACCTCGAATTTTCAGAAATTATGAAAAGGTCTTCAGCTAAAAGCCCGAGAGCCGAACCCGGCTTATGTAGGCAACCAATAAGTCCCAGTGGGACCCAAAGACTCCAAAACCCCTTAATTAAGGAAAAGATAGCTTAAATTATAATAGGAGCCCTAATATGATTTAAGGTATATTCCTTAATTAAGGGGTTTTGGAGGCTCTGGGGACCTGATTCAACCTCCTTACTCCGAGGTTCATGGGTAGTTGTAAGTGGAGTTTTAAGTAAGGTAGCTATAACTATAACCAATACCAGCGGACTTATAACCCTACATATAGCAGCCCATGAACCTCCAAGTATGTCCCATCCAAGAGCTGCTCCATGAAGCAGCCTGGATCACACAGTAGGCAATCTCCCCGTCGCATCCCCGTGGAATGAAGGGCAAAAGGTTAGAGGCTATTCCTGAACCTCAAAAAGCGTAGGGTTCAAGGGCTGATATAAGGAAATCATCGTACGGAACCCCGGGATCGGCAAGGTGAAGCTTTGGCGTTCGAACAGTGGCCGAAGCTGCTGTCATGCCTTGATGACCATTTAAAGGTACTGAATGGGTTGGTATACGGCTCTAAGCGGTCATAGTAACTTGAGTGGATTCTGCAGTATGGTTTCCATTTTACGTGCAACTCAGGACTATCAGGAAAGAACATACCCTAAACCCTAAACCCAGAGCCCAATACCCCTCAATTAAGGAACATAGATTAAATTATGGATCCTTAATATGACGGTTGAAGTTATATATTTCTTAATCAAGGGGTCTTGGGCTCTAGATCTCAGGGAACCCTAAACCTACAGTTTTGATGGTTTGATGCCACCCCTCTAACAGAAAACATACCCCAAACTCTAAACTATAAGCTTACAAGTACAGGCGTTGTTTCAACCATCTTCTTTTTCGGAGCCCTATGCTTCCAAATGTGACGGAACTATATGTATATGTGTATATATATATATATATATGTATATTCGTGGAAACTAGGATTAACAAGGAACTCGAAAGGTAGGTATTTCCGGCTACAGGCAAACTTACAAGTTTGATGTCCCCGTCTGCTCCAGGCCCTGGGCCGCGCCCGCGCTCAACGCGTGGACTCTTCGGCGGAGATTCCGAGGTGCTTGGATGCACCTTAAGGTTCCTTTGAAGGCTTAGTAGCTGAGTGGATACACTTTATACTTTTTGGGATAATATTACCCATTATAAAACTAAAAGTGTACATTTTTGGGCTGACTTATGAATTCAGCAACGAAGAAGGGTTCCTATATTATTATAAAAGTTCCTTTAGAGGGTTACTATAATGGGTTCCGGTGAAGGGCGGAGTTTCCGAACACTAGGGGTACCTTATTTTGGGGTCCTCAAAACAAGGATCCTATAATTTACTGTGCTGTATTGGGGTCCCCTGTTTTCGGCAACCCCCAGGTGGATTGTGAGGGTTGGGACTTTGGTGTTGGGGGTTGGAGTTTTCTGTGGTCTAGAGTTTAGGGCTTTAGGCTGGGGGCTTGAGGGTTTAGAGTTAGGGTTAAGGTTCAGGGTTTAGAGTTTACGGCTTTAGGGTGGGGGCTTGAGGGTTTAGAGTTAGGGTTAAGGTTCAGGGTTGCAAATTTGAGGTTGGGGGTGGATGCTTTGGGTTTCAGGGGTCACGTGGCCACTTAAACTTGGGCCCCACGTCAGCGATCTTGGAGCCGACAAACTCAGCGATCCCCAGAGACTCCAAAGTCCTTGAATTAATTAAGGAATATACCTTAAACTGTCATAGGATTCCTAATACAGCTTAAGGTAATTATATTCCTCAATTAAGGGGTATTGGAGTCTCTGGCTCTTGAGAATCTTCATTTATAGCCCGACCGTCAGCAAATCATGACAACAGAATCTACAGCCCCGACATTTGTCTCATCTTCCAGCTGGTTCTACTGCCTGCACGCGCCAAGCCGTGTGAATCTGTCTACGTTTGACGCTCCTGTATACAGTTTCAGTAGTGCATGTTCATGTTGTTATTATGTGTGCGTTTGTTTTCACACCAGTTCTCAAGGCAGAGCAGGGTCTTTGATATTTACAATAGAGTTTGGGGTATAATGTACGATAACCATACTAAGGAACCCTAAATATTACTGGTAATCATTTCCTGGGTCCAAACAACCTACATTTAGGTTTCCTTAGCATTATGACTTCTTTAGTGTTTCGGGGAGAAAGTTGGGCTCCCAACTGAACCTCAGCTTAGGGTTCCAGATGCCTCTGGATATTCTCACCGTAGTAAAGTAGAGTCAGTAGAACATAATATAGTAACATAGTTTACCACAATATACTACCGCAACATAACATTATAATATATTAAGATGTTCCGTCCCAAAAATTGCAGTTGCGGTTGTCTGCTAAGGGATCCTAATGTGCATTCGCAGCCGTGTGCAAGTGCTACCGTTCAAGGTCTCCACCGGCCATGGGTGAACCTTACCGAGCTGGTATGTGTCGTCTCTACATCGTAGTTGTTATAGCTTTGGGTGCGTTAGTTCATGATATGTGTACCTACATGTTACAGGTGTACACACACATGCATGTCTATATGAATCTGTGTATATACACTCCCTGTTTAACCCTATTTGCCCTCTCTGCTGTATATATGTATACATATACGTATATATGTAAACATACATAAGTAAATACGTGCAAACATACATACATATGTATACAGACGGGCATCAAGTACAGATGTATCTGCGTGTGTACGTCAGTTCGTCATGGGCATACATCTGCATATGTACATATATGTATGTGTTGCAATGATGTACATATGTACACAGATATACAGAATGTTTATGAACACACACACACACACACACGCGCGCGCAGGGACGCATGTTTTGTTGTTGTTTGACCTCCACCTTCAGGTAGAGAAGCTCAAGCGTGAGAACGCAGAGCTCAAGAGACGCTCCTCCGAAGTTCGTTTCGTGAAAACCGCAATCGACAGACTGTCGCCTTAAATCACAGCATCATAGAGTCTTAATAAGTTCATAGCTTCATCATCGTTTGTGTTTGTAAATGTGAAAGCCGACATTTAAACCAGCCGATGTGTCAACAATGCCGCCGAAGGATGGCTCACAGATCCGCGTGCAGGAAGAAAGGTCCGTCGAGGCCGGCAGCTGTTTTTCGGTCGTTAGGGTTTTCTTGTGGTAGCGGAGCTCCGATACGGGGCTCCGGTAGTGTTGGGTCACATTGGTGTGTCAGTGTTGTTCAGGACTTACAGCAGTAAGTGGTTTAGGTAAGGTAGTGGCCGGGAAACCTTGAGCCATGAGTTCCGTTGTGCGCGACTCTGTGGGCCGCGAGTGGGAGCGGGTGGAAGATGATGACGACATCCTCTCGACGACGACAGTGATGCCTGGGGAAGTTCAGGCACCTGAGATGCCTTCGACTATGACGATGGGGCCTGCGGAACAGCAGGCGGATGCGACGCCTGAGCGACTGGCGTCACATGGCGTGAGTTCAGAGAGATGGACCCCCTCAGTGAATGGGTCATTGGGGGGCCGAAACCTTTGGAGGGGAACGCCGTCGCCTCGAAGGTTGTCGTGGGATCATCGTGCAGCCAGAGCCTCGACCAACTGGGAGGCTGCGTCAGCCCCTGGCGCCTTGGAGGAACGAGCTGCAGGCCATGGGTCTTGGGAGTGGTCCGACTATGAATGGTCAGATGATTCGTGGAGTTCGGACCCATGGGGACACCACCTGGACACCGCTCGCCCCGGCTGGAGGCATCGGTACCATAACTGGGAGGAGCCAGCACAGGATCCGGAGGAGAGCATGCCACCGGAAGTGTCTGGAGTTCCCCTGCCTCGACTGTTGTCCAGGCGGGAGAACAGTGCCGAACGGAAGGAAGTGCCGATGCCGAGGAGAGCCCAATTTTTCAGTGGATGGGAGAATCGAGCCCGAGGACACGATTCTCCCCGTGCGCTTCGGCATGATCCGGAAGGAGCTCGAGTACTTGATCAAGGACGCCTTCGAGTACCCGATTCACCGCAAGAACACCAAGGTGATCATGCCCGAGGACTTCGCAACGATCAGCCGCAAGGACATCAGATCGATCAAGGTCGAGGACTTCGAAACGATCAGCCGCAAGGACATCAGCTTGATCAAGCACGAGGACTTCGAGACGATCAGCCGTCAGGACATCAGCTCGATCAAGGACGAGGACTTCAAGACGATCAGCCGCAAGGACATCAGCGCGATCAAGGTCAAGTGTGTGTGGGGTCAAGAACGGAGAGGTCCGACCGTCAGGACGGGGGGGCTTACCTGAAGCTTCATTCGTCCTTTCCGCCAGAGTTCAAGGCAAAGCCAGGAGAGTCATGGAAGGACTACTGGAGGTCGGTGGAGTTTTGGTTGGCGTCTGAGGGTGCCAACTTGCCGCCAGGCGTTCGTGCCACCAGGCTTATGCAGCAGCTGAAGGAGCGAGCCGGGAAGATTGTCAATCACCTGAGTGTGGAGGACGTCACGGGCCCCGGCGGAGTCGAGCTGATTCGGAAGGAGATGGAGAAAAGCCCGATTATCAGGTTGCTGGAGCATAAGGAGGTGGACAAGAAACGCCAGAAGTTTATGAAGCTGTGCCGCTACCCGAAGGAGTCATTGGAGTCCTTCATTAACAGGGCTTCGATCTATCGCCATGAGAATGACTCCTGCCAGAACTACCGTGTGGGCACGAAGTTCTACTTGGGCCACTTGATTGACGCCGCCCGCCTCACGAGTAAGGACCAGGCCCTCATCAAGACGGCGGCCGGTGGACTTCACGAAGAGCACAAGGTGGTGAATGCCATGTTGGAGCTTTCGGAGCAGTTAGAGGGCCAGAGTGGATACCCCATTGGAAAAGGGGAGCCGGACCTGCCGGATGAGGACCGTTACCTAGTGCAAAAGGGGTCCCGCGAGACTGGTGATGATGCTCGACGGCGTGATGGCCGGGAGAAGAGCTACCGCAGGTTCGATGGCAAAGATCGCCGACGTCGGGATCAGCGAGGCCGCTGGAATGGACGGGCCCGGAAACTCAAGCAAGTCTTTCATGCCATCTTGGAGAATGATGAGGACTCCGAGTCGAGCAGCCAGTCCGGTGAAGATGATAGCTCCGACTCGAAGGAGAACGGCGATGACAAGGAGGAGAATGCCCCGGGCCAGGACGAGGAAACCTCGTCGGAGATCTCCATGCCGGCGGAGGTGTACGCTCAGGAGTACAAGGCAAAGAAGAAGGTGAATGAGCTAAAGCAGATGCGGCAGTATTTTCAGCGTGGCAACTCCGAGAAGACGAAGGCCTGGGTTCGAGAGCAGCAGAAGAAGGAGCCATGCTTCTTGTGTGACAAGCTTGGCCACTGGAGCCAGGAATGCCCGTTGAGGCACAAGGGCCCTCGCAAAAACGCGCATTCTGTGCAGGTTACCTCGGGCCGCTCAAGCCAGGACCCGGGCCAATGGAGCCTTCTCGAGAGCATGACGCAATACACGGTGGCCGCGCCTGTTCGGGATGTCTCTCGGGTTTCTACCTGTCTGGTTACGTCGTTCAGATCAGCCCTTGCCACAGTAGATCACGAAGCCTTTTGGTCTATGCGTGAACTACACAGCAGCTTGATTTTGGACTTGGGATGCATGAAGTCAGTGGCAGGGACTAAGTGGGTCAACCAACATATTGCGCGCCTTAAGCAGCTGGGACGCTGGATGATGGCCACGAGAGAGCGGGAGAGTTTTCGTTTTGGTGATGGCCATGAACTTGTGAGTGAGTATGCTTTTGTCTTTGAAGCTACGGTGCTAGGCGTGAGGGTGATCTTGAGACTCAGCGTGGTGCCCGGAGAGTGTCCACCGTTGCTTGCCAAGCCAGCGTGCACTCAGCTGGGTATGGTCATCGATACTGAGCACCACCAGGTTTCCTCACGAAAGCTTCGAGTCACTCGCTATGGATTGTCTCAGACGTTCGGTGGGCACTATGTCATTCCGATTGCCGAGTTTGCTGAAGATATGCCCCAGATTCATGAGCCCAGCATCCCCCAGCACCTCGAAGCCATTCCGGTGTATGTGAACGAGAGCCTTGAGACCTCCCGAAATGAAACAGGTTCCCGAGTTACGACGATGCCCTCCTTGAGATCGTGGACAAGACATGACAAGCAGGTGAGCAACACAGTGGGCCCCGGAACCAACGGACCGGCGTGGGAGTTCGTCGTTCGTCGGGTGGTGTATGATGCTCAGAATGGTGGCAAGTTGTTTGAAGAGTGCGTGACTGAGGCTACCCCGATTAGGCAGCCTTTGCACGGAGTGTATGATACGACCACCATCTTTATGTTCAACACCCGCGCTGCGCCCTTCACAAGGATGGAGTCTAGCAATTCGGCATCAGAGCCCCCGGCGCCTCCCACTGTGATCGGCGAACATGGTGCTGCACGCGCGCAAGGAGAAGAACGAGGAGGCCCCGGGAGTGGAGGTGATCTCCGATGGAAGCTCCCCGACGCTGCCCGTGCACCACCGTCTGGACCGCACCGACGACGAACCCCTGCGGACCTCGTGGGAGGAAGTGGGCCTGGACGATGCGGAGGAGAACCAATCGGAGGACGAAGCAACCACAGCCCCCGCAGTCAATCGCAAGGTCGGGGGCCAAAAACTGGGTCGCCTTCTACGGGAACGGGCCAGGTCAAAGTCGGCCGATACCCGCAAACCGCGCAAGGGCGAGATGAAACGCCTGGGTTCCCCGAGGTTGAGGTCTTCGCGAGCCGAGGGGAGCACGAGGGTGGTACCGCCAACTCCGGCATCCAAGGCCCCGAGCACTCCGGCACGAACAACCAAGGCGATGCTGGAGGCGCAGGCGGCCGAGCTGGAGGAGCAGCTGTGGGACTACATGGACCCGACCTCGATCGTCGTCGAGGGCTCGAAGGCGACAAAGGCATACTGGGTGGAGAAGGTTCGCCTGCTGGAGGAGGAGTTGGGCCATTGCTTGGCCCCGGGCCCTATGGAGCTGGACAAGCTGAAGGAGAATGGCGAGATCGACTTCACGATCGAGGAGGAGGACCGGGCCTCTACACGTCGGGCGGGCAAGGCCCGTCACGAGGAGCCGCCGCCCGGGAGAACGAGGGCGGATCAGAGAGCTACTACGACGCCCGAAGCCAGTGCAGCATCGACGAAGGGGAGTGTGGAAACCAAGGGAAGGCGAGCGCCGGCGAAGATCGGCGCCCTCACGGATCATACAGCTCCCTTCCCGAGTCTGTCGAACAAGTTTTCCGACGACGTGGTGATCAACCTGATGCTGAGCTTGCAAGGGAAGCTGTTCGCGTTCAAGTGGAAGCTCTTCCTCCTGATGCTGCGGGTGAAGAAGGGAGTCGAGCACGAGATGGGGCCCCGGGTGCGATGGAGGAGGAATCCGAAGTGGCTAATGCAGCTACTGGGGCGGGAGTGCGCCAGCCTATGGGGCCACCTGGGGGCGGCGAGACAGCTATGCAACAGCCACAAGCATCTACACTTGATGCAGGGAGCGCCTCGGGACCAAGACCGAGGAAGCCGTCGAGGGGATTGACGCAAAGATTGAGGCGTGGAGTCGCCGTGGGTGGCAGGATCCTATGTCTCCTCACGTTGGCCGCCACGTTTGGATTTCGTTGGTCGGCCGTGGAGGTGTTTGACACGGGCACGGACTGGAGTGAATGCCAAACGGAGCAGGCATGGGAGATAAGCGAGCCGTTGTGGAACGCACCGACTGCCCCTGGGAGAAAGGAGTGCAGAAAGATCATGGCCCAGTTGCACAAGAAGGCCCCCGACGTCGTCCTGTTGTCGCCGCCGGTAGGACCTTTTTCGTCATGGACTCAGGCGTCTTCGAAGGAGTTGCGTGAGGCCAAGGCTCGTTACTGGCCAATGTGGGAAATGATTGTGGATGTGTGGAAACAACAGACCGCCCGAGGGCGTCTGGTACATCTACAGCTACCTCACGGCGCCACCGTTCCAGACTCAGCCGAGCTCCGGGCCATGAAGATCAATTACGAGAGGCTTACCTACGGCCAGGAGACTGACGAGTCGACGGAGTGGCCAGACCTTCATCGAGATCCCACCTGTACGGCCTATGTGGACCTGTGTATGCTTGGGCATTGCGACCCTGAGACCGGAAAATACTTCAAGAAAGGGGTCCAAGTGGAGACCAATCACCCGGTGTGGAGTTCTATGTTGGGGTCGCCACCGAGATGTCAACACCCTCCGGGACAACATCAGGAGGTTAAGGGGTTCGCGGTGGAGAAGGGCGGCCAACTGGTGAGCAGGTCGTCTGTGGCAGCCAAATGGCCTGAACCTTGGTGCGCCTTGGTTCTGAATTCTGCGAATCAGGTGCTGGAAGTTCGGCGAGCCTTACCACCAAATTTGGCTCTTCATCAGGAATGCCCAGGTGATGTGGAATGGGAAGCCGTCCCGGTGGAGACGGAAACCTCACCAGAGGGCCTCTTGCGACAGAGACTTGGTGAAGTGACGGGCGACCAGTACGACTACATCTACTTCGAGGGCGGCAGCGGGTCCTTGTCAAAACCGTTAAGGAGCACCCTGGCAAAGTTGCATGTGGTGTTGGGACATGTTTCAAATGCCAAATTAAAGCGGATGCTCCATCTGAATGGGGCCAAGGACCACATCCTGGACGCGGCCGGGGACCTCCGTTGCCAAATTTGTCAGTCAGTCGTCCCGCCACGACCCACACCCAAGGCGGCCTATGATAGGCCTACGCGCTTCAATGAGAGGGTCGTGGTGGATGTGTTCTATGTTTGGGACGCTGGCAAGGCCAAGTATGCGGTGGTTCACGCGGTGGATGCTTTTGCCCTGTACCAGGTCGCTACATTGATGCATACGGCAAGGGCAGACCTGGTGGCGCACTTCTTGAAGAACTACTGGGTCGGTGTGTTTGGCCCGCCAGAAGTGCTTATGAGCGACGGAGGCAGCGAGTTTGCAGCCGAGACTGAAGGTCTTCTGAGGGCCTATGATGTTTTCCATGAATTGGTCCCTCCTGCGGCGAAGTGGCGCATGGGACTGGCCGAACGACACGGTGCCATTCTCAAGCTCCTCATCATGAAGACCATACAAGCTACCACCGCCAAGGGCTACAGCGAGACTAAGGAATGTGTGATGGCGGCCACATCGGCGAGAAATCGCCAGATGAGAGTGGGAGGATTCTCCCCGACCCAGATTGTGCTGGGCAAGGATGTGGCCATCCCGTCATCATTGCTGAGTCAGCTAGAGAAAGGCCACTTCAAATACGTCCTGAACCAGGACCTGGCCTTTGCGGATGCAAGAAGGAGGAACGAACAGATCCGTCAAGCAGCCGAGCAGGCCTTCATATGGGCTGATTCAAGCGAGACCTTGAGACGGGCAATCAACTCCCGGTCCCGACATCCTCGTTTGGAGATGCTCTACGAAGGGGCGACCGTCTACTTCTACGACCCGCCGACATCAAGGAAGGGCCTCCCCAAAAGGTTGCAAGATCAAGACGCGTGGTCTGGCCCTGGAGTGGTTGCTGCCATCGAGAGGCGGGAAGGTGCCATTAAGCGCGTGTGGATTCGGTACCGGAACAAGTTGAAGGGCCTCCCGCTTGAATATGTTAGACTTGCAGCTCTGGAAGAGGTGGAAGCCTCAAAGGTTTGTCGGGAAGCTCTACAGGAGGTGGAAAAGGAACTGCAAGGTTCTCGCCCGGACATCGAGGAAATGGCCGATCCTGAAATTGAGGAGCCGGGGTTGCCGTTGATGGAATTTAGTGGTGATGAAGAGGAGGAGGAAGAGGACCTCACACTTCGTGAACCCGCGGCCTCCTCTCTGGATGATGTACCGGCTCAACTTCATCGCGATGCCGGCCGAGAAATGACCAGACAACGTGATGCACAACCACCTCGAAAGAAGGTTCGCTTCGAGGAAGCGAAGGAACGCACTGAACAACATCTGAGAAGGATGAAAGCGGTGCTAGAACGAGCGGGCGGACCGGACCGGGGCACATCTTCTACGGCGGCCACTGTGGCCTCTTCAGCCAGTGGGCGCTCACAGCCCTACCCAACGCCGACGAGGAGCTCTACGCCTGACATCGCGAGTCATCGAGGGCGAGGCGTGCTACATACAAGCGAAGTGTGGCACTTGGAAGAAGCGATACGAGAACATCGCCTCATTTTGCAAGCGGCACGTTGGGACGTTCATGCAGCGGAAGCTGAAAGGATTACTGAGGAGTTAGCCAACAGTGTCCTCGAGAAGACGGCCGAGATCGACGAGGGGGAGGCTAATGCCATTTACGTCACGGAGGAGTTAGCCAACAGTGTCATCGAGAAGACGGCCGAGATCGACGAGGGGAAGGTCCAGGCGCCGATCACCGGTAAGCCACGTCTAGAGTTCAAGTGGAATAAGCTCGATGACAGCTGGAGAAGGGCTTTTGTTCAACCGCTTAAGGATGCACTGGACGTCTACATCGACAACTGTGCGGTTGAAGGAGTTCCCATGGGACAAATGGTCTCGCCAGATCACATCTTGCCCTCCAGGTTTGTTCTCACGAACAAGAACGAGGAGAAGTCTGTGGAAAAGGCGAAGCTGAAGGCAAGATGGGTCTTGGCTGGCCATTTGGACAAGGAGGCCGGAAGATACGCTACGGAAGCACCTACGGCGAGCTTGGTGGCACACAACCTCATATGCTACATCAGTGCGCAATGTGGCTGGGCCCTGAAGTATGCGGACATTTCGGCTGCCTTCTTACAAGGAGAAGAACTTTGTGATGAGCGAGTCGTCTACATTAGGCTGCCGAAGGGCTATCCAGATGAGGTCACCAAGCACTTGATGAAGCGACTGGGGCGGAAGACTCCTGGAGGGATCCGAGCGGATCTAGTGCGCCTCACCAAGGGAGGATTTGGCCTCTCGGAGTCGCCGAGGTTATGGTACCTCCGACTACGTCGCGGTTTACTTGAATTGGGACTGAGAGAGCTTAAGCTTTCCCCAGGTACCTTCGTGTTCCATTGGAACGGGAGCCTGAAGGGCATCATCGCAGTGCATGTCGATGACTTGAGGATTGCGTTCCACCCAAAGTTCGAGTATATCCTCCAGGAGTTGCGCAAGACCTTTTCGTTCGGAGAGTGGAAGACGGCCTTGAATGAGACCGTGAAGTTCTGTGGCCGGTGGGAACGACAATGCCCAACCTCCTTCAAGGTCACCGTGACGATGGACGGCTATGCTCCCAAGCTACAAGACCCGCCCCAGAGAAAGGCCGGAGATCGTTCTCCTCTGACTGATGCGGAGAAGAAGTGGGTGGCCTCAGTGGGAGGCCAAATCAACTGGATGGCCAGGCAGGGACGGGCAGACCTGGCATTTGGCATTTCGAAGGTGCAGCAGATGGCTGGCGCTCGTGACCCGGAGACCTTGAAGGCCTTGCTTGCGCTCGTTAAGAAGGCCCGGGACCCTTACGAATGCATCTTCCAGGCCATGCCCGGTGGTTTCGACCAGATGATCTTCCTGGCAGTGAGTGATGCTTCTCATGCTGCCATGCCGAAGGGGAGATCACAAGGGGGACTGATGATCCTGCTTGCACCGGAGGAGATCCTCGATGGTGATGCTTTGGTTAACTGCGTGATGTACCACAGCGCGGTGCTGAAGCGGGTGGTTCGCAGTAGCCTGGCAGCTGAGATTTCTCAGGCTGCGGAGGCCTTGGAGCAGTGCGACTTTGTTCGAACAATGATGGCCGAGATCCTCGACGGCAAGTTCGCACTGGCTCAATGGCGCTGGAGTGCAAGCAGGTGGAAAGAAATCTTGGTATTGGATTCCAAGACCGGCTACGATGTCCTGAACAGCATCAGTCATGGAGAGGATAAGCGATTGGCCATCGACATCGCCATCTTGAAGGAATCGCTCTACGAGCCGGAGAGCAACCGCTGGGTCCGATGGGTGCCAGGAGTGACGATGCCTTCTGATGGCCTGACAAAGGAGTACGGCAACCACATGCGTGATGCTGTTATGAAGGGCGGACCGTGGAGCCTTTGTGACTCACCCCAAGCGCAAAAGCTTCGTGAAGAAGCCGGGCACCGCAAAAGGCAGTGCCGTGATCGCGCTCGTCAAAGGGAGCACGAGATTGAACAGCTTCGGCAGGCAGCGGACACATCAGCTCCAATGGGGGTTGGTGTGAAAGCCGACATTTAAACCAGCCGATGTGTCAACAATGCCGCCGAAGGATGGCTCACAGATCCGCGTGCAGGAAGAAAGGTCCGTCGAGGCCGGCAGCTGTTTTTCGGTCGTTAGGGTTTTCTTGTGTAAATCTTTCTGCGAGCCATCCCTTACACTAGCAGTTAAGTTGTGCTTGGGAGTTTCACAGCAGCTTCGAGCGATACCACACCTACGGTGCCACATATGCAGTACGCGTGCGGTGTGGGCTACGCAGCGTACGCGATGATTCGGATTTCACCGATTGTCGTAGCTTCTCACGACACCCAATCAAATCTCCGCCGTCCTATGATTCCCTCAGTCGCATAGAGACAGGAATGATTGCACAAACGCTTGAGCACATGCAATCGGTGTTGCGTTACGTACGAGTCACTACACATCAGACTCCGAATACGTCGCCAAATGACCCGTATAGTTTCCACATACGTGTCGTATGGCATGCATGCACCCAAAACCCCAAAGGGGCCAAGTAATCGTATAAAAAAGTATAGCAAAAAAATATGAGGCCCAAATGTCTACAAAGTACCTAACATATTGGTACGTGGACCCCCTGGGGACACTACTTAGAACTCTGAGCGCCCATTGATTGAACCTGCAGCCTGTCAGTTCTGTCAGGAAACAAGGTAGGGCTTTGGGGCATTTTATATTTTCCCTTATTGGGTTTAAGAGGATCTTATTTACGAATATATTTCAAAAGCTTCAAAAGCCCCACCTAGGAAAGCTCGGCGAAGATCCCGGCAGCACCCCTTCTGGTGGCGGCGGCGTCATCGAGAAGATCGGCAGCGCGGTGCCTTGATCTCGACCGGTTGAATGTTCCCCTAAGGCTCAAAGTAGCCATATAGTACATACTCAGGCCTTAAAGTACCTATATAGGAACCCTTTTTGAGGTCTAAGTATATACTATATGGCTACATGGATACATGGAGCCTTAGGGTTCATGGGCAGTTTCAAGCTACGTCTCCCAGTGCCTTTTTGCCCTTTTTGTTTGGGATTCGGGATCTCCAATTGCAAGCCGCATGGTAGAAAAAAGGGTGCCCTTGTTATTCAGGTGGTACTGGGGACCTAGAGTGGGGCGTAGGTTCGAATTACCTTTCTGGCTAAACTGTACGACGCTCTAAAACCACAGTCCCAAAGCTACAGTTCGACCAAGGTGAAGTCACTCTTTGGCGGTGGTCAGAAGAAGGAGGGCAGCACATGAACTGCCAAAAACACCGGGCCTTCATAGGGTTCCCTATTATAGTTGTAGTGTAACATAGAATAATAGAGTACAACGTACACCAAAACCCTGTTCTAATCACCAAGGGCAATTACAACAGTGAGCTTCTCAGGACGTTTGAAGGCTGAGGCCCTTGCTGAGCTAGGGGCTTAGGCTTTACAGGGTACTGTGGCTGCATGGACCTAAAGCGCCAGATCCACTTGGGACTTGGGGCTCCACATTATTTTCAGTATACTATATCTATGTTATACCATACTGTAATATTACACTATGCAAGACTATACCATACTATGCTATGCTATACCATACTATGTTGTAGAGCCTGCTCTGAGGTTCCTGCGCAAAGCATGCTGAACCGATCAGGAGCATCTTTCTCACATATTCCCCGGCAGATCGTTACTACATCAACAGACATTCAGATAGGGAGAGAGGGAGAGACATAGAGAGAGCGAGAGCGATAGAGAGAGACAGAGAGACAGAGATACAGAGAGAGAGAGAGAGAGAGACAGAGACAGAGACCAGAGAGACAGAGACACAGAGAGCGAGAAAGCGCATTTTAAAGTTCAGCCGAGAAGCATTGGTTGATAGCGCTTAAGCGAAGCACTGCGAAGGAGTCAGCACCGATCGTTGGGAGCAGTGCGCTTCCAGGCACTGCGATGTCACGTCTTTCACATAGGGGCCTAAATAAGGGAAACATGCAGGGTTCCTAGGGTTCCTTTAAAGGGGTCTATAAGGGTTTCTGAAAGGGAAAGTGTAAGCTATAACATAGGGGCTGAAATAATTACTAATACTTTTCGGGGTGCCTTGCTATCACTATTGTATAATGGCCCCCCAAACCGTATTCTAGTTATCAATTACGGTCCCTATAGTATTGGCTTCCCGCCGCAGGATTCAGGGTCGTAGCTGAGAAAGCTCTTGGGGAGCAGTAGCTCGGGCCCTAGACTCAAAATGCTCATCTAATGCAGTGTTTAATTCAGGTCAGACATCCAGCCCGAGGCGACAGAACGACAATGTTTCAACACTATTTCCTGGGTTCTTGTTGAGGGATGTAATACAAGATGCCATGATAGGTAAGTAGAGTAATTTAGACGCGGCTTCTTGACTATAGTAACTCAAATCGAATTTCGTAGCAAGAACCCAGTTTCCGGTGCTGGTGGTGCGAACCCAACTCGTAAATACGTCAACCCGACTTGTCGAAGGGCAAGGCATTTTCAGCCTGGAGAGGCCGCCCAGCTGTAACCCAAAGCGCCCGGCCCACTCAAAGCGAAGTCTGGTCCGAGAGCCGAATCTCACCCTAAGGCTCTAAGGACTCAGATTTTAAGGCTTTTGGACCCAAAGACCATACTATATGGTGAGACTGGCCATTTTGAGGCTTAGTGTTAGTCCTAGTAATCTGACAAAACACACCTGCGGCGTAAAGCATATGCCACCGAGCCTCAAAACCCTTGACGTGCCACAAACCCTAAACCCGGCTTCGGGTACTTGAAGGTTCATGGATAGTTACAGTATAATTACAGCTACCCTACGTATAACCCCACTTATACCTCCCCATGAACTTCCAATAGGGCTTCTCTCAGCTTTTTTTGGAGGAATGATGGGCGGCCTGCTGGGTGCTTTGATCAAGCCGGCATTTGGCCCCTTGGTTGGAGCTTCAGTATGGGAGTTTCCGAAAGTTGGGGGTACATTATTTTGGGGTCCTTATAATAAGGATCCTACTATTTAGGGTGCTGTGCTAGGGTCCCCTATTTTCGGAAACTACCGTATGAGTTCAGGGCTCAGGGCTCAAAGTTTAGGGTTTAGTATTCAGGGGTTCAGGGTTTGGAGCATGAATGGTCTAAGAGGTCCAGTACTTTGGGTCGAGTCACTCTTGTCGGGTTTTGGCCAGGACAGGAAGTTTGCGAATTGATGCATCCGGGCATGGAAAGTACCTGGACTGCCGAGCATCAACGCTCAGCCATATGCTTTCAACCCCAAGGGCGAAATGAGATTGGAGTTTGGAGTCCGCTGCTGCTTCACAATCAAAGCAGCTTGTTTCTGCCTCAGTACTTATAGTAGTGACAAGGCTCCCTTATTCTAGTTCCCACATAACATCCTACGACGGGAGCATACTTCGTAACCGTATCGAACATGGTTCCCCATTAGGTGGAAGCTTTTCAAGCCACAGCTAGTGGTAGATGGGAGACTATCTAGGTCTGAAAGCATTTTTGGATTTGGCATCTTCGTGAAAAACGTAACTGCATCTGCTGTCGAGTATTTTATCATGCCGCTTTTTTATCTTGCAACTTCGAATTATCTAGCACTAGCTTAGCACTGTTGGAACACTGTTTTGCATTGTCTTTCGCACTGGTTCAGCGCAGTTTTAACACTGTGTATTTAGCATTGTCTTACAACAAGAAGGCGTCCACCAAATCTCATCCAACTCAATAAGGACTCACTCCTAAATCCGGTGTATCCTTCAAAACCCGATGAAACATGATGAAGCCAGATAACACCCTGCAAAGCACTGCGAGTCCCCATGAATCCCGACATTTCTATCCAAGGAATGCTGGGAAATCTCCTTAAGGGCAGCCAAGAGGACATGCAAAAGGCCACCAGTTTTCCTTGCAACTGGCGTCTTCTGCATGCTACTTCATCCTTGGAATACGATTTGGGTTTGGGTAGAAGCCCAGGTAGTCCAATGCTGTCCCGGTGAAATCGCGGTATGATAACCCATCACTGCAGATGCATTCGTATATTCCTCTATGCAGTTCATTAAGCATGATAGACCCAAAAAATCCGACTCTTAAGGCTCCTGTGTTCCTACACCCTGAACCCTAAACCTGGTAATGAATGGCCCGATCTCCGAGATGCCACGGAACAAGCAGGGCAAAGAGCTTCGAGCTCCCTTTTTCAATGCGCCCTAAGCCCAACCTGGACCCGAAAAGTATGCAGAAAGCCCTATTTCGCCTACGTTTGGGGGTTCAGATAACAGCCCTTGAACTAGAGCCCCAAACCCCATACCCTGAACCCTATAACTCTGAACTCCTAAACACTTAAACCTATTTGGTGGGTTCAGATACACCCTAATTTTTTCGCAGCCATCTCGACCCATGTTCCACAGTTTAGGGTTTACTGGGTTCTTGTTAAGGAATTTAAGTTACCATAACAGGGATCTACAGTAAATAATATGGTTTCCTCATCATGGCACCTTCGACGGACCCTCGATTAAATACCTTGACAAGAACCCAGTTTATAAGGGTTGAGGTGAGCAGAAAGGGCTAGCAAAAGAGCTCCCGTTGTTTGAGCATCCTCGCTCTTGCGACTTGTCTTCGGTCTCTGCGGATAACACCATTAACATCCGTCAACGCGGGCCCGGTTCTGGTTGTGAAGCTGTAGCATGAGTGGTCTCTCGGTCAGTCTTCCCATGCTTCTGACTACGCACTCTTTAACGACACCCGCTGGAGGGTATGGCTCCGCGGATGAACATGTAAAAGGCTTTGTCTCATGGGTCCAGTCACCCCAATAAACCTTCACCAAAACTCAACTAAGCTAGACCCCGAGTCCTGAAACCTTGAAGTGCTAAACCCTACAAGTATGCTCAAACCCCAAGCCCCCGAGAACCCGAACCCTGAACCTCTACAAGCCTGAAACCAAAAAAGAAAAACAACCCTCCAGCCTCTTGAACCTGAAGCCCTAGCCCGAACGCTTCTCATTATCACTAGAAGGCTGCCAAAAAAACCGCACCAAGCCCCCCAAGAAGCGAATAGCTTGTAGTAGGAACCCTAGTAAGATGTCAGGTATATTCATTAAGGGGCTTTGGAGTCTTTGGGACCCTAATGAAACCCTAAACCCTAAACCCTAATTAAAGCCTAAACCCCTGGGGCAGGTCATGTCTGAAGCACAGACGCTGCTCACCCGGAGCGGCCGCTTGGGCTCCCGCGTGGAGTGCGGACCGGTGCTCTTGGCATGAACTTAGGGGTTTAGGGTTTAGGGGTTTAGGCTTTAGGGTTTAGGGTTTAGGCATGAACTTAGGGGCACTTAGAAATATTTTTTTAATTTTGGGTTATTGTAATCCCTAAGAAACAGCTAAAATTATAATTGTTGCTAAGGTTCTAAGTTCAGTATAGTGAAGTTGTCCTGCACCCTAAACACTTATAGGGTTTACGGGTCAGGGTTGTTTTAGGGTTTAGGTGTCAATGTACCCAAATAGTATATACTTTGGCAACAAAATACCTTTAGAGGAACTTCTTTGAGGTCGAAGTTTATACTATTCGGGTACATGGACCCCTTTGGGAATCAGAAAACAACATAATACGGGCCCATGTTTTTGCACATTGCCAGACAGCACACATGCTGACGATGGCCTAGCCGTGTGTTGGCTGTTAACAAGGATTTCGTATATGTGCCTTGAATGTCAATGTCCATGTATTAAAAAAGTATGAAGAACGAAAAACGTGATGGACGGATGCACGTGGTCAAGTGGAGTTGGCTTGCCCTTTTTGCGGAGCGCTTATAGGGTCTGCAAGGCCTGACAGCCATAACATTTCGTTGACACTTCGGGTTGTCGAGATGCCATTATCATTAGGATTTGAGCTTCTTTATCAATCAGTCATCAGTGTCAAAATCTGAAAACCAGTAACTCTTTTAGATTTTCTGCTGCTGCCGGCCTTGTTTAAGGACTCAGGTTCTGGGTCTGCCACACAGCGGTTTTCATCGGAATTTGGGATATGTGGGAAGAAGCTTTCATGTTTGTATCCGGGGAGTGCGACCCATACGGTGTTGGGTCTGCATTTGAGCCAACCCGGCTAAAATTTAGGATTCTCAATGGCTGGTCCCCGTCTCCATGTTTGGTATTTGACTCAGATCATCTTTTTGAGATCTTCAACAAGTCCCCCTAAGTTTCTTGGGAACTAGTAACTAGTCACCACCTTTAGGATATGTGCTGTGCGAACCTCTCACTCCTGTTAGGGATGGCGCTTGTGGGAGCAATCTTCCAAACCACTTACTTCTTCTGTGGTCGAGGTTTGCTAGTACCTGCGTTTGCTAGCCCGTTCATGTCTTGTAGAGTTTGGGATGTGCTACCCATCATCGCATTATAAAGTTACGGCAGGATCCAACACCTGTCATTTGTGCAGTCGTGAACCTGGCGCGATTCTTGTGGTGTCGGCTTCTTTCATCTTCTTGGTGTTGGGTTCCCACCATTTCACGTACATTGAGTTTTGAATTTCTGCACAAACACGTTGGACGAGAAGTGCAGTGCTTTATCCAACTGATTTTGTCACCTACTCTGTTCTATAGTGCCAGGGTTTGGATTCCTTTGACAGTCCCGTGACTTCCAGCAGGATTCAGATCTTGAGACTTCGTGTTTAAGAATACGAATAAAACAACAGTTTTACTTGTAAAACACGGGCCCGTATTCCGTGGCACTCTCCAGAAAACAACATGGGAATAGGGTATGGCGGTTTAGGGTTTGGGCTTCTTGGTTCCCTAACATGTTTAGGGGGTTGGGGTTTTGGGTTGAGGGTTTTGGGGCCTGTCATTTGTGTTGGACCTCTATCTATCATGTGCGGGTCTTGCTTGCTTGGAACAACACCTACTGTAAGGGATATATTAATAAGGACTACGTAGAACTTCAATGGTTTCGCTTCTTCTTCTCAAGCTTGCAGTACAAAGCAGACTTCTGGATCTTTGAAGAAAACCGAAGACCAGACCGGCCCTGGCCTCAATAAAACATATACAAGTTGAATGTTCAATGGTTTCATTTGTTCTATCATTTTTGGTAGGAAGCAGAGATTTGTTTGAATTTTTTAGGAAACAGACCAAAACTTAAAACAAAGGGCATCTTCTCGTTGTTGGGAAAGATTTGGTACTATTGAATTATGGTCTGCTCTTTTTTCAAAACTTGTAAGTTGTGGTAAGCCGTGGTTCCATAGCGATGAGAAGATAAGGATGCTGCAACCCAGGGTCTCGACACAATCAAGGGTGCCCCCAACCACGTTCATGTCTTTAGACTCTTTAGACATTCGGGCTGAACGTTTTCAGGGTTTAGGCTCTTGGGATTAAGGTTTAGGGCTGCATAAACCATCCGGTTACGCCTATAATTCAACACTGGGTCGTCGACATGTAAGGTGTACAGCCAATCCTACTCCTCCATGAACATCAACGGCCAGCAGAGCACCCAAGTGGCGCTGCAGTTTCAAGCGCAGGGTGATGCAGGAGCGGTTTTGGTGTGAAGAGGAGTGGCGGGAGGTTCAGCATGTTCAGCTTGCGCGAGATTGAGCGGAATGTAGCCAGGCGAGAGTCTGCGGAAAGTGACAGATGCTCTACAGGCTCGAGCCTGAACCTGAAGCCCTTGTACTTGAACCTCACATGACCCACATGCACGGCATTACAACTTGGGACTTCAGGTCCCAGCTCAAAAGCAAGACTCCTTCCTTTTTGAGGATGTTAAAACTCAGCAGCATATTTCGGCTGCACCCCCCTCTGATTGAAGAGATCTGTCGGGTCAGGAGCCGGTACCGTCTCTTGCTCTGCGACCATTGTCGACGGAGGCGTGAACTTCCAGGATCCCTGGCAGGAACTGTTTCGGATTTGGGGTTTAGGGTTTAGGGTTTAGGGGATCCCTGGTAGGAACTGTTTCGGATTAGGGCGCAGTTCTCGTTGTTAGGCAGCAGGCCGGCACACTTGTTGGCACCAAAGTCGTGGCAAAACAGACGATAGTGGCTGTAGCTCAGGGTGTGGTTTTGCATGTCTCCGAAGCTCGTGCGAGTCGTCCGCTCTGCGCATGATCTAGAAACTATATCGTCACATCGCGTAAGCTTGCGCAACGGCTGTGTTCAACCAAAACAAGATGTCTCTCGTTTCAAAGCTCTGAAGGACATTCAATGGGACTGCAACCACCCTGAAACATAAATTGTGCCTGTCAACACTATCGGACGAACACCTGGAAGGCTTCTCCCGAGTAGCCCCACTCTTTAACTGCAAAGCCCAAGCTCAGCAATTCAAGACAACAACGACTCCGTTGAGCCTTAGCTTGTGTCATCCGAAACTTGATGTTTGCCATTTTAAGTTTTGAGCTTAAGTCACAGGACTTATAGGGCTTAGGGCGTATGTATTAGGGTTAGTTCTTGTGATCAGCAACTCAACCCCTCATGAGGCCCTCATGTCATAAGCCCTTAGCTGTACCACCAGCACAACATGGTACAGACTTGTGCAGGTCTTTTCGGGAGCCAAAATTTATGTAAATCCTACAGCGACTTAGGTTTCATGCCTATCTAATTGAGATCTCAAAATCCATACCTACTTGTTGTCGTGTAGCTATCTATCCCCAAACATTGCAGCTGCTTTAACTACTTTAAGCCCGACTTTTGTAAGCCCATAATGATCATCCTAGCGCTAAACCCTTAAACCCAAATGTTCACAGCCCGACGCTTATGCATCTTAAACTCCAAGCCAATGAGCCATGCAATGGAGCCTTGCGGAAGGATCTGCGTCTCGATGGCACTGCCGTAGATACCAGCCCTGGACGGGATGAGAACGTCATTGATGTCTGAGAGCTGCGCCACTTAACCCAGTCGAAATATGCCTGCACCCTCAATATCCGCAGACCATAAGTTCAATGATGGTAGTTTGGTAATTCTATAGAACTTTGGCAAATAGAGCCATCATAAATCCGCCAAAACTAGAAACTACAAGCTGGAAAATCATGTCCTCGTGCCCAAAGTTTGGGAGTCCCAGCACTAATCATCCCGAATCCAGGTTCTAACTTTCTTTGTTGACTGTAATCAGGTGCGGTTGTTGTTCAAACTACCTGCCTGCCAAACACAGCACCAGGAGGTGGGTTCATGTAGACTTCTTTTTTTGGTTTGGACCTCCTTATAAGGACCTGTATTCCCAAGGGTTCCTCCTGCGAAGGACTTTCAGATGGAAATCCGAACAATTAGTAATGTTGTTCCTTGGGGTTCCTTCTTACATTTATAGTGCCCTATGCCCCAAAATATAAATCAACGTAGTGAGGCCTTAACCTCAAACCCCGATAGAACCGTTAAAGAAGCACCCGAAAAGGAGCCCGATTCTACTTACAGTAACCCTGAAAGCAACCTTGCAGGAATCTTTCCGATAGCCCTGATAGTAACCATTATAGTATCCAGAAGTCCCAATACCCCTTGCATAAGCAATAAACCGTAGACCATGATCTTAAGGCCCCTGCTATTTAACGTATATCGCTTAAGGTGCCTTAGGCTCTCTGGGTAACCCGAAATCCCAAACCTTGGCTCCCCTCCTGAGCACTGGATACAGCTCAGCCGCGTGATCGGTCAGGCCTCTGGCACAGGCCTTCTCCCAAAAAGACGCTGGTTACCATACGGGCCTAAAGAATTATGAACACTATTTTGGGGGCTCCTTACTATAATTATAGTATATTGGGACCCAAAACCCTACTCTAATTACTAACTCCCCTACATTACCCGCCATTACTACTAGAATAGTTACAATACAAGACTCTGAGGACAAGGGTTGCTAGAAGGGTTATCCTCAAAAGACTCTGAGGATCTGAGGGTTACTGCCAGGATTACTAGAAGGTTTATCGTAAGGGTTATTAGAAGGGTTGCTCTCAGGGCTATTGCAAGGGTTAGTACAAGGGCTACTATAAGGGTTTAGGGATGTCTCTAATTAATCTTTTCGGAATTATGATTGGATTCCGGCCGTAGAGGCTTCAGAGTGCAAGCGTATTAGGGTTTAGGATATGAAAGTTCGGGCTATTCCGGATTACTGGGGTTCACGATTAGGATACAGGGTTTTGGGGCAGTAAGGTTCAGGGAATTCGGGTTCAGGGCATTAGGATTTACGGGAGTCGTTCTTATAGTTTTGCTGGCTTAAGGGTTCCGGCAATGCTGACTCGCCTAACAGGAATATGGTTCGCGAGGTGTGGAACCCGCATAGATCCCTTGAAAGGAACCCTGGACCCTAGGCCCTGCGAGTTCGAAGGTTGTTATTGCTCCAAGACCTTCAGGTTTTAATGTTCCAGGGGGGGTACGTAGGGTTCAGGGATTTAGGGTATGGGGTTTCGGGGCGTTTGGGAGGAGGTCCTCTGCCATCAATGCTCCATGCATGATAGACTCTGGAAACCCGACTTTTCAGTTCCGCCTCGGCTGAACATCGCGAGGAGCGAAACAGTCTCCAGGGAAGCTGGCGCAAATTCGGCTGATTCTAACAAGGAACGCCCAACACCATAATCTAATTCCTAAGGCTCGCAACAGGCATACAGCTTCCGTTAAGCCCTGTGCCCGCAATCCATGCCTGTGCAGGCACTGCAGAACATCCAAGACTGTAGGGGCCCTCATGAATAGGGTTTGCGGGTGTATTATATTACATATAATCCCAATAAGGAGCCCCCAAAACCATAGTCTAATTAGTAAGGCCCCCCAAATTTAGATTAGCTGCAAACGGGTTGATCGGGTTGTTTGGAATTTCAGATTTAGGGTTGTGACTCATTCGTCGTCGCCAGGTCTTGATTTACAGAAGAAATTTTCTGAAGAAATCCCTAGGGATCCAGTTACCCAAAACAGTGGGTTGCCAACCACATATTATACAACCCGGTAACCCAGCCCTAGGGAATGTGTGTGATCATTAATCATTAATCCCTAATCCCTAATAATCCCTAAGTTTCACGTTTCGCCACGACTAAGCCCGTGCACACGAGGAAGCATCGGTGGAGCTTCCGCGCTCCTGTTTAGGAGTCCTTCTGTTGATGATAAAAATCCTGCATTACCTTAAGGACCCTATACTATGGGAATGATGGTCTATTCCTTACTATGGAGACTGCAGGATTTATATCATCAACCGTTGCAGTGTTCGTTCCTGATTTCTCTGCACCGGCTTGAATGACCTAGGCCGTAACACCTCAATCAACGCACATGTTGGAGGCGGAACATCCCAAATCTGTACATTCTGGCATAGGCACGAGACATGCGACACTCGTTGAATCGCAAGTCTATGTCAGACCATTAGCTCATGCTGGATGCTGGGAACTTACCAGGTTACCACTGCGGAACCAACTTGGTTGATAAGACAAAGACCCCTCTCTTGCAAGCCCCTGCAGATTTTGATATTGGTGAAGAAGAAGGTGAGCAAACAGGCCCTCCTGACATCAAGCTTCGAATCTTAGTGGTAGCCTCACAGACGGAACCCTTTAGTAACCGTAGTACCTGATAGTCAAAGCAAACGTATGGTACCATTACAGTCCGCTTACAGTAGCATTTTGTGATGTAGTCCGCCGCTCATGCGGTCATGCTGGACTTAGATCATGAAGAGGACATCGTGCGAGTGATGGCGGTGCCTTCTGTCGCGTGTGTTAGCGTAGCGGAGATGCGATTGCAGGCTTCCCCAAAGTAGGCTTTAGGATTTATAAGTGGTAAAGGGCTCAAGGCCGACACATGAGGGCCCTCCACTAGCCAGTAATGTCATGTAAGAAGAGTGCGAGGTGGACATAACAGCGTCATTCATGTTATTGAGACACTACTTGCCTGATGCCGCAGCATTTTGCAGCATAGATAGCGCAAGAGTCGCTAAGCGCACCGAGGACTCCGAGGAGCACGGTGTGGGTGGATGGGCTCGGCGGATCTTGTATTTAGTCTTTCCAGCGAGCAGAGATTCGCAGACCTTGAGGCATGTGACTAGTTGTTGCTGCACCACGGGCTTTTGCATTGGCAAGGCTCGGGAGCCAGTTCGCGAAATTGGCGTGCATGTTTCGAAACCTATTGAAAACTGTGCAGAAAGATGTCCGGTTGAAGCGAACCATGCGGTGAGTCTACATAATGAACATATATTTATTTAGGGCCTCAATTATTAGCCGCGGCCTGTTATTATCTACCATTATTACCTGAAGCGTCGCCGGAAGAAGTTCCTGCCCGGAATATCCTCGGCCCTGGCAGCAACATCAGGAGACAACGATGACAGGAATGGCCCGGCAAGCCTTGCCACCTAGCTCAAGCTAGTTGTGGTGATGTTTGGGGCCAATACTGGAAAGTTTACGGTATATATATATATATATATATATATATATAGGGTTCAGCAATTTGGGTTATCTTTTCAGACGCTTGCTCTCCATTCGTGTCATGCCTAGAGGGGTCGGACGAAGCTGCCGGACTTCCAGGATTTTACAGGGTTCAGGGTTCCTGTGCAACATCGTCAGGACCGGGTATGTTGCTCCGAATTTATTTCGGCTCCCAGATATCAAGAGAATTCAAGACGTCTGTTGTGTCTAGGGGTCTGAACAATTACCAATACTGTTCCTTAGGGCTCTTGAAAGAATCAGTGCACCATGGCATACCCCATTATCTATTCATCGAGGGATTCAGCTCAACCCCGGAAGAGGAGCTTTGATGATGTAGAGGTCATGACTATGCTTATTCTTGGGGTTTAGGTGTTTAGGGTTTATAGTTAGGGTCACCATGCACAACCAGACATGTATAGTCGCTCACATATCTATGTAACAGACGCCAACAAATTTAACTTGTTCAGTCCCCGAGATTACATGCAGGACATGTCGCTGCAAGTTAGAGTATGTGCTTTGGTGCTTAAGTTTAGTGGTTCAGGTTTTCGAGATTTGTGTCCAGGGTCATCCCTTGGCTTTGGACTCCTTCAAGCCGAGCCTACAAGCTCTGTAAGAAGTTCATTCTACCATCCTTTCTTTAACCCGCAACAACCCCATCCTTCAGATGAGTCTGTGGGTCTGGTTATTCGGTGTATAGTGTATGTGTATATGTGATGTGAAATATTCGCTTTACATATTACCCCAAATCTTGTTGACCCCAAGGCATATGTGCATTTTCTCTTGTGATGAAATTTCCAGGACCTGAACTCCATAGAGCTGTAGCAGCCTCCACCGCTACGGGTCCTAATCCTCCACCCTAAACCCTAAACCCCCAAATTTCCTGCAGAGAAAACTTCGCCCGTATCCGAAGTATTCAACAGCAGAGCCCGAGTCGACTGTCCTCAACCCTACCTTAACCCTGAAGAACCTACCTTTTTAGGGTTCGTTATTATGATGTCCTTTTATAAGTCCTTAGAAAGCTAGGATCTTCAGGGTTAAGGTAAGCCCTACTTCAAACCCTGAAAAAGTTGAGGACTTATAGAAGGAAATCATGTTTGGGTTCTGGTAAACCCTAAACCCAAAGCCCGCGAACCCTAAAACACAACCCGGAACCCCCTAAAGCCTCCCGGAGAGCTGCGAGACCCGAGAAGCCTGAGACCCTAATTCAACAACCTATAAGAGAGGGTTTAGAGAGAACCTGCTGGAGGCGTCAAGTCTCGAAAACTACAATCTACAGGAAATAAATCTGATACCCTTGCAAAGAGAAGGTTTCACACACAGGGACCTTTACACACAATAGGGGACCTTCAATTAAACCCTAAACCCTGAGCCCTAAACCGATTGCCGGCAGACGTAAAAGTCAACTCAACTTTAAAACAAAAAACCCTTTGTTAAGGCTTCTTTGCGTGGCACTCCGTGGTGCAGGGGCCTCGGGTGCCTTGCGTGGGCGCCCGGGCGGCA